TCAATAAACATAATACATCACATAAGCAAAAGGAAAGACAAAAACCACATGATCATCTCAATAGACGTGGAAAAAACATTTGATAAGGTACAGCACCCATTTGTGATAACAACAATCAGAAAAATGGGAATAAAGATCATATATTTAAAACCTACAGTCAACCTCATACTCAACAGACAAAAACTAAAAGCTTTTCAAGTAAGATCAGTAACATGACAAGGATGTCCATTTTTACTACTTCTATTCACCACAGTATTGGAAATCCAAACCACAGAGATCAGATAAGAAAAAGAAATAAAAGACATCCAAGTTGTAAAGGAGGATGTAAAACTACCATTGTTTGCAGATGATATGATAGTGTACATAGAAAACTCTATAGACTACACCAAAAAACTAGTTGACCTAGTAAGTGAATTAAGTAATACAGAAAGATAGAAAGTCAATATTAAAAAATGAAAGACATTTTTGTACACCAACAATGAAATAGCAGAAGCAGAAATCAGGAAAAAAAATCCCATTTACTATAGAAACAAGAAAAATAAAATACCTAGAAATACCTTGGATAAACTTATCCAAGGAGGTAAAAGGCCTTTATGCAGAAAACTATACAAAACTGAAGCAAGAAATCAAGGAAGACACATATAAATGGAAGCATATACTGTCTTCATGGATTGGAAGAATTAACATCATCAAAATGTCCATACTACCCAAAGCAGTTTATACATTCAGCACAATAGTTATTAAAGTAACAATGATGTATTTCACAGACATAGAACAGACATTTCAAAAACTTATATGGAACTATACATGACCCCGTATAGCTGCAGAAATTTTAAGAAAGAAAATCAAAGCAAGAGGGATCACAATACCAGATATAAAACTGTATTACAAGGCCACTGTAATCAAAACAGTCTGGTATTGGCACAAGAACAGACACCTAGATCAGTGGAAAGAATAGAAAGCCCAGAAATAAACCCATGTCTCTATGGTCAATTAATATTTGACAAAGCGGGCAGAAGCATAAAATGGAGTTAAAATAGCCTCTTCAACAAATAATGTAGACAGAGGTGAACAGCTACATGAAAAAAATTGAAATTCTATCACCGTTACACCATACACAAAAATATATTCAAGATGGATAAAAGACTTAAATATAAGTCATGACACCATGAAAGTCCTAGGGGAGGACATAGGCGGGAAAGTCTCAGATATCCTATGCAGCAATATTTTCACTGATATGTCCTCTAAATCAAGGGTCATAAAGGAAAGAATAAACAAATGGGACTTCATTAAAATAAGAAGCTTCTGCATGACTAAAGAAAACATCAGCAAAATGAAAAGGGAGCCAACCGTATGGAAAAATATATTTGCCAATGATACATCAGATAGAGGTTTGATCTCCAAAATATATAAAAAACTCACACAACTCCACCCCAAGAAGACAAACAATCTAATTAAAAAATGGGCAAAGGACCTGGACAGACACTTCTCCAAGGAAGAGATACAGAGGGCCCAGAGACATATGAAAGGATGCTCAGCATCACTAGCCATCAGAGAAATGCAAATTATAACCACAATGAGATACCAGTTCACACTAGTCAGAATGGCCATTATAAATAGATCAACAAACAATGGGTGCTGTTGAGGATGTATAGAAAAGGGAACCCTACCTAGTACATTGTTGGTGGGAATGCAGACTGGTGCAGCTACTGTGGAAAACAGTGTAGAATTTCCTCAAAAAGCTAAAAATGGAATTGCCTCTTGACCCAGTGATTCCACTGTGGGATTATATTCTAAGAACACCAAAACACCAATTCAAAAGAATTTATGCATCTCAATGTTCATAGCAGCACAATTTACAATAGTCAAGTGTTGGAAGGAACCTAAATGCCCATGAATAAATGAGTGGGTCAAAAAACTGTGGTACATTTACACAATGGAATACTACATAGCAGAAAGAAAGAAAGAACTACTACTCTTCACGACAGCATGGATGGAACTAGAGAGCATTATGCTAAGTGAAATAAGCCAGGGGCAAAAGACAAATACCATATGATCTCACCTATAAGTGGAACCTAATGAACAGAACAAACAAGCAAGGAAAATATGACCAGCAACAATGAAAGAAAAAAGAAACCATCAGAATCAAGAGGAAAGAGGAAGTCGGGGCAGGGAAAGGGAAGGGAAGGGTCAAGTCAAGGAACATGTGTAAAGGACACATGGACAAAACCAAAGTGGGAAAGGTATGAGTGATGGAGGTGGAGGAGGGTGGCAAGGGAAAGTGGTGGCAGGAAGGTGGAGACAAATATATCTGAACAATAAAAAAAAAGAAAGAAAAAAGGAATGAAAAGGCATACAAATTAGAAAGAAAAAATATTACTTCCTTAGTTTTCCTCTAGGAGTTGTATGATATTGTGACTTATATTTAAGTTTTTTATTCATTTTGAGTTTATTCTCATGTATGATATAGCTTGGTAGTAGAGTTTCATTTTTCTGCATGTACCAGGGCAGTTTTCCCAACACTACTGCAGAGGCTATCTTTACTCCATTTTTTGCTCTTGCCTCCTTTGTCATTTGTTACTTGATCAACCAATTGGCCATATTGTTGCTAGTTTATTTCTGGGCTTTCAGTTATGTTCTATTAATTTATATGTCTGTTCTTATGCAGGTACCAGGAAGTTTGATTAGAGTGTCCTTATAGAATAGTTTGATATCAGGTATTGTAATCCCTATGAATTTGTTCTGTCTTAAGGTTTCTGGGGCTATTCAAAGTTTTTCTCTGGGGGTGTTCACTATGAATTTTTGGAATATTTGTTCTAGATCTGTGAAATATGCCATTGGTATCTGAATGAGAATTGCATTGAATAATGGGAGAACTTCAAGATGGCAGAGGAGTGAGTGGAAGTCACACTGACCTCTGCCCAGGACAAATCTGGAAATACAACTAAACTGTGGAGAAATCGCCTGGAAAACAACTAAACAATAGCAAGAGCAGAGCCTTGGAAACTTGGACAGACAGAGGAATAGGCTTTAGCACAACCTAACTGGTAAGGAGCGCAGTAGAGGCTTGAGAAAGTGGACTAGGCACCCACGGGAGACAGCACCAGAGGGATATAGTAATGGCCAGTTGGATCCGCCTGAGAAGAGCAGAGTCTAAACCATAAGCATGGATCTCCAGCCTACAGCACCAGAGCCCAAAAAGTTCACCAATATAAGTGAAATGAGAAAAAGCATAGGAGTGCTCTCTTCCAGAGACTGGCAGCTAGAGATGCAAGGAGATGTTTAAAGTGCCAACACAGATATTTGTAGTGCCATCCACTTACCCTGGGCTCAGGAGAAGGTGGGGCCGGGTGGGCTGGAGTCACCTGAGGGGACACTGGAGATTGAAGCTCTGGGGAGAGAACTGAGGGGGTGGCCAACAGGATCCTGGTGCTGACTCACCCCTACTTCTGCAGCTGCCATCTTGTTCAGGCAGGTCACTCCCCTGAGTGGAAGCAGAGAGTAGGGCACACTTACCCCGCACCCCAGGACACTCTGCCTCAGCCACGCATTACACAGGCCTGGGTGCTGAGTATAGAGAGGCAGTCACAGATTGTAGATCCCTGGTTAAAGGGGATGAAGAGTGGTCTGGGGTTGCTTGAGGAGAGTCTGTATACAAAGGTGCTAGGAAGGGAACTGAGGAAATAATTGGGGAAATCCCAGTGGTGACTCCTCCCTCATATGGCAACATCCATCTTGCTCAGGCAGACCGCACCCCTGAGTGGCAGCATTGTGAACAGACACAATAGCCATGCCCCCAAGAGGCTCTGCCATGGCTAGGTGTTGGGAATCCCAGGTGCTGAGCACAGAGCAGCAATCACAGATGGTGGATCCCTGGCTTTAGAAGATGCAAAGTGGTCTAGATATGCTTGAGGAGAGTTAGGAGACAGACATTGGGGAGAGAACTGAGGGAGTAGCCTGGGGGGATTCTGGTGCTGACTTCTCCCCGTATGACAACAGCCATCTTGTTCAGGCAGATTACCTCCCTCAGTGGCAGCAGTGTGAAAAGACAAAATAACACTGACCACAAAAGGGACTCTGCCCTGCTCTGTGGTGCCTAAGCCTGACTGATGATGCCAGAGTGACTAGGATAAGAACTGGAGGAGACAATCACAGACAGTAGATTCCTGGAAGTCTCTTAAAGACTGCCTAAGTTCAGATGGGGTCAACAGCTGACATCAGAGGCAGATCTAGAAAGAAAATTTAAAAAAGAAGAGGAATCCTACCACAGAAGTTCACACCACCAAGTCAAGACAGATCAATTTAAGAAGCAGCAGTGAAAAAGAAGAGTCTCAGACATAACTGGAAGAAAAAGGAACACTCCCCAATTGAAGGGAAAGGAGGAACCCCCACAAAGAGAAATAAATGGAATAGAGGCAACTATGAGATATTGAGTTCAAAACAACTGTTCTTAGGAAGCTCAATGAGCTCAGTGAGGTCAAAGAGAATTACCAAGAACTACAGAGAAACTATGAGGGGTTTCTTGCAAACTATATTACCATGAAAACCGACATAGAAACTATCAATAAGAGGCAAGAAAAAAAAGAATATAATTTCTTAATTGAAGAACACAGTAGAAGGAATCAAAAAACAGGCTACATGAAACTGAGGATTGATTTAACGAGCTGGAGGACAAGGTAGAAAAAAGCTCCCAGAGATAACGAGAAAATGAAAAATGACTAAAAAAGAATGAAGAGGCATTTAGGGAAATGCAGGACACCCTGAATGAATAATATCTGTATAATAGGCATACTAGAAGGAGAAGAAGAGGAGCAAGGAATAGAGAACATTTTTGAAAAAGTAAGGATGGAAAATTCCTTAATTGGAGGAGAAAAAAAAATCACTAAAGTTCAGGAAGCACAGAGGGTCCCATTCAAGAGGAACCCAATGAGGCCCACTCCAAGACACATCACAGTTAAAATGGCAAATATCGCTTTTTCTATGCCATCGTGGTACGTGAGGTTCATTCTTCTTCGCCACGTCTTCTCACAAGACTTTCAGGATCAAGAGGTTCCTGGTCAAGAAACAAAAGCAGAATCAGCCTATTCCCCAATGGATTTGGATGAAAACTGGTAATAAAATCAGGTACAACTCCAAGAGGAGACATTGGAGAAGAACCAATCTGGGTCTATAAGGAATCACGCATGACATTGGAGAAGAACCAAAACTGGTTCTATAAGGAAGGGTACATCAGAGATGGCTCACATATTTATGCTCTCTATTCATGTTGTCTGCCACTTGAAATCACAGAAAAGACAACTACTGTCTGGACAGTCTGGCATTTTAACTGGGAAATTGTTGGAAAAATGATTTTTCTCTTGATTATTTTTCCTGCAGTGGTAGGTTGGTTCATTAATAAATGTGAGGCCATTTAAACTGAAAAAAAAAAAAGGCAAATCTCAAAGACAAAGAGAGAATCCTCAAGGCAGCAGGGGAGAAACAGGGAATAACATATAAGGAGCCCTGATATGCCAACAGCTGACTTACCAACAGAAACACTACCAGCCAGAAGGGAATGGCTAGAAATATTTCAAGTAATGAAAAGCAAGGGCCTACATCCAAGACTACTCTACCCAGTAAGTTTCTCAATTAAAATAGAAGGCAAAGTAAGGAGTTTCCCAGACAAGAGAAGTTTAAAAGACTATACCTGCACCAAACCAGCACTACAAGATATGACAAAGGGACTGCTTTAATAAGATGAAGAAAAAGAGTCAGAAAGAGAGGAACACACATACAAAATGAAAAAATGAATAAGTACCTATCAATAAAACTTTAAATGTAATTGGATTAAATGCAATAATTAAAATACACAGTATTCTGAATGGATACAAAAACATGACTGGCATATATGGTGCCTACAAGAGACCCACCTCAGAACAAAAGACCTACACTGACTGATAAAGGGATGGAAAAAAATATTCCAGGCAAGTGGACAGAGAAAAAAGCAGGAATAAAAATACTTATATCAGACAAAATAGATTTCAAAACAAAGGCCATAACAAGAGACCCAGAAGGACACTTCATAATACTCAAAGGAAGAATCCATCAAGAAGATGCAAACATTGTAAACAAATATGCACCCAACATAGGAGCACCCAAATGTATAAGGGAAATTTTGGAGGACTTCAAGAAAGATAGAGACAGCAACACACTGATGGTAGGGGATTTGAACACCCCACTGTAAAAATGGGTAGATCTTCCAAACAAAACATCAACAAGGATATTGTGGAAGGGAATGATACATTAGACAAATTGACTTAACAGACATAAATAGAACCTTTTATCCCAATAAGCAAAATACACATTATTTTCAAGTGCATATGGAAGATTTTCAAAGATACACTACATGACAGGACACAGAACAAGACAACAAATTCTGAAAAATCCAAATCATAAGAAGCATTATCTCGGACCACAAAGGCTTGTAACAAGAAACCAACCACAAGAAAAAACTCAGATATTCACATTCATGGAGACTGAATAGCACACTATTAAACAATTAATGAGTCAATAGTAAGATCGAAGAAGAAATCAAACTGTACCTTATCAAATGCTTTTTCTGCATCTATTGAAATGATTCTGTGGTTTTTGCCTTTCCTTTTTTATGTGATGTATTACATTTATTGATTTGTGAATATTGAACCATCCTTGCATCCCTGGGATGAATCCCACTTGATCATAGTGGATGATCTCTTTAATGTATTGTTGGTTGTGATTTGCCAATATTTTGTTGAGGATTTTAGTGTCTATGTTTATTAGTGATATTGGCCTGTAGTTTTCTTTGTTTGTTGTGTCTTCATCTGGTTTTTGGAATAAGATGATGCTAGCCTCATAAAAAAAGTCTGGGTGTCTTCCCTCTTCTTGGATTTTTTGGAATAGTCTGAGAAGGACAGGGGTTAGCTCTTCCTTTAATGTTTTGTAAAATTCAACTGTGAAACTGTCAGGTCTAGGGCTTTTGTTTGCTGGGAATTTTTTGAATATGTTTTCAATTTCCCCAACTTTTATTGGTCTGTTCAGACTTTCTTCATCTTCTTCATTCAGTGTTGGACGGTTATATTTTTCTGGACATTTGTCATTTCATTGAGGTTTTCAAATTTCTTGGCATGTAATTGTTCATAGTAATGTCTGACAATTGTTTCTATTTCTGTAATATTAGTTGTTATTTCTCCTCTTTCACTTCTGATATTATTTATTTGGGTCCTCTCATATTTTCCTGATGAGTGCTGGAAGGCTTGTCAAATTTGTTTATCTTTTCAGAGAACCAGCTCCTGGATTGGTTGATCTTTCAATTATTCTTTTAGTCTCTATGTCATTCAGTTCTGCTCTGATCTTGATTAATTCCGTCCTACTTGCTCTGGGTTTTATTTGTTGTTTCTCCAGTTCTTGAACCTGAAGGGTTAGGTTGTTTATTTGAAATGTTTCTATCTTTTTGAGGAAACATTTTTGTGTTGCTCTGAACATCCCCCTCTAAGGACTGCCTTTGCTGTGTCCCATAAGTTTTGGACTGTTGTGTGTTCATTTTAATTTGTTTCCAGAAACTTTGTGATTTCTTCTTTGATCTCATTTTTGATCTGTTCATTGTTTAATAGCACACTATTCAGTCTGCATTAGTTTGAATATCTTTGAGTTTTTTCCTGAGGTTGGGTTCTCATTTCAAGCCCTTGTGGTCTGAGAAAATGCTTGTTATGATTTCAATTGTCTTGAATTTTCTGAGGCTTTTTTGTGTCCTAGCATGTGGTCTATCTTTGAAAATATTCTGTGTACTTTTGAAAAGAATGTGTGTTTTTCTTCTTTGGGATGAAATTTTCTATATATGTCAGTTAAGTCCATTTGATCTATGTGTTGTTCCTTTCCACAATATCCTTGTTGATGTTTTGTTTGGATGATCTATTTTTGTCAGTGAGGTGGTAAATCCCCTACTGCCAGTGTTATTGTCTATGTCTTTCTTGATGTCCTCCAAGATTTTACTTATATATTTGGGTGCTCCTATATTGGGTGCATATAGGTTTACAATCTTTATGTCTTTTTGATGGATTCTTCTTTTGAGTATTATTAAATGTCTTTCTGGTTCTGTTTTTATGGTCTTTGTTTGGAAATCTATTTTATCAGATATAAGTATAGCTACCCCTTCTTTTTTCCCCTCTCCATTTGCTTGGAATACTTTTTTCCATCCCTTTGCTTTCAGGCTGTGTACATGCTTTTTTCTTAGGTGGGTCTCTTGTAGGCAGCATATGTGTGGGTCATGTTTTCTTATCCATTCAGCTATCATGTATCTTTTGATTTGGGCATTTAATCCATTTACATTTAAAGTTATTATTGATATGTACTTATTTATTTTTTTTCATTTTGTATCTGTGTTCCCCTCTTTCTCAGTCTTTCTTCATCTTCTTAAAGCAGTCCTTTCGGCATATCTTGTATTACTGGTTTGGTGAAAGTGTATTCTTTAAGCATTTTTTCTGGGAAACTCCTTGCTTTGCCTTCCATTTTAATTGAGAAACTTACTGGGTAGAGTAGTCTTGGATGCAGGCCTTTGCTTTATATGACTTGGAATATTTCTTGCCATTCCCTTCTGGCTTGCAGTGCTTCTGTTGAGAAGTCAGCTGCTAGCCATATTGAGGCTCCCTTGTATATTAATGCCTCTTTCTGCCTTGCTGCCTTTAAGATTCTATCTTTTCCTTTGGTATTTGCAATTTTTAATTATGATGTGTCTTGGAGTGGGTCTCATTGGATTCCTCTTGAATGGGACCCTCTGTGCTTCCTGGACTTCTGTGACTTTTACTTTTCTCCAATCAGGGAAGTTTTCCATCATCACTTGTTCAAACTGTTTCTCTATCCCTTGTTGCTCTTCTCTTTCCGGCATCCCTATTATAAGGATATTATGATGTTTCAGGTTTTACTGTATGTCCCTGAATGCCTTTTCATTCTTTCTTAGTCTTTTTTTTCAATTTCTTGCTCTTTCTGGGAGCTTTTTACTACCTTTTCCTTCAACTCACTGATTTGATTCTGTGCTTTATCAAGTGTGCTTTTGATACCTTCTACTGTGTTCTTCAATTCAGAAATTGTATTCTTCATTTTCTCTTGCTTCTTATTGATAGTCTCTATGTCTCTTCTTTTTCATGCTGATATAGTTTGCAGTAAGTTCCTCATCATTTCCCTGTAGTTCTTGGTAATTACCTTTGAGCTCCCTGAGCTCCCTGAGCCTCCTTGGAACCATTGTTTTGAATGCAGTATCTGATAGTTTACTTGCTTCTATTTCATTTAATTCACTTTGTGGGGATTCTTCCTTTCCCTTTGATTAGGGGTTGTTTCTTTTTCTTCCCATTATTTGTGAAGCTCTTCTTTTTTGCTCTGCTTCTTACATTAACCTGTCTGGACTTCCTGACTTTGTGGTGTGAACTTCTATGGTAGGAGACTGCTTTTTTTTCTTTCTCTTTTCTTTCTGGATCTGTCTCTGATCATGTCAGCTGTTGACCACATCTGACCTTAGGCAGTCTTTAAGAGACTTCCAGGAACCTACTGTCTGTGATGGTCTCTTTCAGTTGTTAATCTAGTCACCCTGCCTTCAGCAGTCAGGGTCAGGCAGAGTCCCTCTGTTTGGGTGGGGCTATTGGGTCATTTCACACTGCTGCCACTCAGGGGAGTAGTCTGCCTGAGCAGGAGGGCTGCTGCTGTGTGGTGGAGGAGTTAGCACCGGAATCCCTCTGGATATTCTATCAGTTCTCTCCCCAATGTCTCCATCCCCAGACTTTCTCAAGTGTCTCTAGACTGCTCCACATCCCCTTTAGCCAGGTATCTACTATCTGTGACTGCCGCTCTGTACTCAGTACCCAGGACTATGCAACACTGGGACAGGACTGAGCCTCATAGGGGCAGGCCTATTGTGTCCTGTCACACTGCTGCCACTCGGGGGAGTGGCCTGCCTAAGCAAGATGGCAGCTGTGGAAGTGGGGTTGAGTCAGCACTGCCTCCCTGCTGGCCACTTGCTCAGTCCTCTTCCCAAAGCCTCCCTTCCCATTCTGTCCTCAGGTGGCTCCAGCCCACTCTGCTCTGGCCTCTGCAAATTTTTGTGTTGGTCTTTTAAACAGCTCCTTGCATCTCTAGCCACCTGTCTCTGGCAGAGAACATCACTAATCTTTTTTCAGCTGGTTTGTGTCTGTGTGCTTTTTGGGCTCTGGTGCTATAGGCTGGAGATCCCTGCTTATGGTTTAGACCCTGCTCTTCT